TATATATATATATATATATATATATAACAAATCTGATATTCAACCTTATTTCTCAAATAAAAAGCAATTATTGTTGAAATTCTTCATACATATTTATTTTTAAACTTTCTATGCAAAACAAATGCAATCAATTTATTTATTGTAATCTCATTTTAATACATGAAAAATACCCGTTAACTAGATATCTGCATTAGTATATAATGCATGATCCAAATTATATTTAGATGATTTTATACACATTTAATATGCTTTAAGATGAGCGCAATGCATGATAAAATGCATCAAAATCAAATTTTAATCATAATATCAAAATTATGCCTTTGTATAAAACAACAAAACACTATGTATGTAAATATAAAATATTTGATGTGATATATATATATATATATTTAAATACATAAGAATTGTGTGCTTGGTACGTAAATTTTCCAAAGAAAAATGGAAGCACACTTACCCAATCATGACAAGAGAGCATGAAATGATCAGCGCCGAGGCTTCGATTCCAGAAGGGATATTTGGAGGATATAACGTTTATATAATCCGCAATTGTTCTTTCAATGGGGCTTATATCAAAAGTCTTGGGCTGGTAGATGAACTTCACCATCTTGACGACGCTGAAAGGAAGAAAATGAACGTGTGCAAGATCAGGATTTCTGGTTCTGAATCTGTTTCCCATCTCCATGTTATATATGAACCTTCCTTCCATGGAATATATGCTTCTGCATGGACCATCATGGAATAATGGCGGTTCGCCTTCTTCATACACGTACACCTTAAACAGCCTCTCCATTTCAAGATGGCTCCTGCATGCAGTGTTTCGGGAGAAGAGGTTCGGGAGAAAATGGGGGCTAGCTCGGATTTGTTGTTTGCTTGTATGGTTTTATCTAGGGGTGTAAGTGAGCCAAGGTGACTCGTGAGCCGGCCCGGGCTCGACTCGATAAGTGGCTCGTGAACTGAGCTCGATAAGTTAACAAGCCAAGCACAAGCCTGGGGCTGTAAAAAAAGCTCATTGTTTGCAAACACCTCGTGTTCGGCTAGTTAAGTAGCTCATGTTCGGCTCTTTCATTAAATAAACGAGCGGAATACGAAAGAGTTTTTAAAGCTCGAATTATAAACGAGCCGAACACGACCAACTCTTTGTTCGCTCATGTTGGGCTCGTTTTAGCTTGAAATAAAAAAAATTATATAATTATTTATATAATAAGATATTACCTTTATTATTTATATCTAAGTTTAAATCATAACACCTAGTGTGGTAATGTTGTTATTTGTTTTCTTTTACATATATTTTGTCCAGGTTCGAATCTAACATTTTACATCTATTTTTTTCAATTTAATTTTAACGAGCCAATTTCGAGCCGAACACGAACACACTATTCACGAGTTAATTTCAAACACGAACAGTTTCAAACGAGTCGAACATGAGCCAAGACTGAGCTCGCACAAACTCGACTCGTTTACAGCCCTACTCAAGCCAGTCTAAACTTCACTTGTTAGCTCGTAAAAAAAATAATAAAAAAATTATATTAGATTTCAAAAAAAAATTCCTTAAATTATTAAAATGCTTAAGAATTAATATTTTATATTTAACATCAAGTGTTTTCTTATTCATTTTCTTCAAAATACTAATTCTCTTGGTTGTGTTCGTCATTTAATAATAACATTAGTTTAAATTAATTTTTTTTTTCTCTTTCATACTAAAGAACTTGCTGGCTCGTTAGACACGACTCTGACTCAATTAAATTAATCAAACTCAAGCTCAAGTCAAAAGTAGCTCCAACTTGGCTCGACTCGGCTCGTTTACACCCTTAGTATTATCATCATTTATGAGCTAAAAACTTTCATGCATTAATTTGATGAAATATTCTTCCAGAAATCAAAGTGATGCGAGGAAAAAAACTTAGGGGAAAAAAAACCTGTGAAATGCATGGGGATTCCTGTAAACTGGGCCTGTAGGTACATAATCTTTATCTTCTACAGACGTTTTATTTGGATTTTGTGCTGCAAATTTGATGGCAGCTCTTGCTCTGGCAAGGTTAAATTCTAATCTTTCCAAATTAGCATCTCTACTCTTTACTCTTAATAGTGTTGGAGGAGCCTCTACTAGTTGTTTCAGTTCATTAGTTGAGGCTGAAGCCTGACAATTTTCAAACAAAAAAATATCAACCATGAAAAAAAGTGCATAAAGCCAGCAATTCCAATTCTATAAGATTGATTTAAGAGATTTGCTAAGAAGTATCTTGCTTAATATGCTTCATTAATGAGTCCGTATGCATGCGGACTTACTATACAATATCATTATATGTATGCATGCGGACTTAATATACAATATCATTATATGTATGCAAAATTTAGTAGTAGTAAGAGCTCTAGTGACAGAAATGTAATTATGGTTGATCAAATTATTAAAAAGCGTGAACGTTTTAGATATCTCGGGTCTGTTGTTCAAAGTGATGGTGATATTGATGAGAATGTTATTAGTAGAATTCAAGTTGGTCGGTTGAAGCGGTGGAATGTTTCAGACCTATTATGTGATAGAAAACTACCGTTTAGACTGAAAAGAAATTTTATAAGATGTTGGTGAGACCTGCTATGCTCTCTGGCACTGAATCATGGTCTTTAAAAGAGAGACATAAAATTAAGTTAAGTGTAGCCGAGATGAGAAAGATTAGGTGGATGAGTTGCTTCACCCTTGGAGACAAAATGCGAAATGAATATATCTATGATAGGGTTGGTGGAGCTCCAGTGACGGACAAAACTAAAGAGAGTCGTCTTAGATGGTTAGATCACATTAAACGTCGATTATCTGATGATCCCATTAAAAGAATAAATGTTCTAGATTCGGCTTATGTAAGAAAGGCACAGGTAGATCTAGAATGACTTGGGCATATCGGATAAAAATGATCTTAATTTATTAGAGTTAAATGTAAATATGACACTAAATAGGACGCAATGGAGAAATAAGATTCATGTAGCTGACCCCACTTAGTGGTGACCCCACTTAGTGGGATGAGGGATGAAGGTTTTTTTGTCGTTGTTATATGCAAAATTTACATGCTTATGAATTCAACTACACATAATAATTTATAAATTTTGTCTAGACATTTTCTCACTTGTAGTTTGGTTCTTATAGTAATGGTTCTCACCGAGAAGTTGTTCTTCAAAGAATTTAGGAGTTTTGCAATTATTGTTTCATTATTTCTGGTAGAAATTTGTGGACTTTTCTACTCGTGATCCGTCCCAAAATATACGATTCTTACATTCGTAGAATTTAGAATATGACACATCATTAAATTATGTGCTCGCGCCTATCCAACGCATAAAATTTGATATTTTTATTTATAATAATTTGTTTTTTATAGCGCATGAAAGAAAAAAATGCATTTCATTTTCGAAAAGTAGATAACATTAATATTTTTTATGTAATGTCAAAAGGTTTTAGTACCATACATGCATATATGATATTTTATCTGTTACATATGTAAATATATAAAAATTTAGGGGTACCTTATTTAAATACCTCTAAAAAATTAGATAGCTCTCTACCATGAAAAAAATATTACCTCAGGAGTACTGATGCATTAGTACTCCAATGAGGAGGTGCCACCTGACATTATAATGAGATCATTGCATACGTGGTATCTTCTCATTAGAGTACTGATGCATCAGTACTCCTGAGAGAATATTTTTTTCTCTACCACAATATCGTCAAGAAAAAGAATATGCAAACAACTATATTGTAATACTCTCCTAAAATTAAATATAGATCACTCAAAATATTAATATTTATAAATTAACCTCATGAACTTCGGAACCAATATATCACGAACAAATTATAGAGAATTTGATAAAAATAAAAAATATGCCTCGAGATTTTATCATGAATTTTTATAATTGAGTGAGGATTTGAAAAATGGATGAAAGAGAATGATTGATATGTAAATAGCAAGTTTAGAGTGGTTTGTATGTAATTTGCCCCTACACTAAAATAATAAGCTCAAATAAGAAATAGCGTACAGGCTTGAAGGCCGTGACGATGACGTTTAGAATTTGTCCTACGCTTGGGATTGACCCAACTAGATATGCTATTTAAAGAATATCCCAAAAATAAAGCCTAAGATAAGTATTAAGCCAGTTTTAAAAATACCACATATATAATACAAGATGCGGCCGCCCAGGAGTAAAGCCAGTTTTATATATATAACACTGTATGTATATACATTTTCATCTATCTATCTATATCTGTATGTATGTATCTGTATATATATATATATAACA